GATTCACAAATTGTCTGCTAATAAAACTTGTTGAAATGGACATTTATCACTTAAATAGCATTTTCTTCTCAGTCGTTTTGCTCTTGGCTGAGCATTTGTGGTCATATTGAGGCTTTTGCGTCGATTGTATCCGCCCGCTCTTTTTCCCTGTTGACAGACTGAATGGTGCCTAGTGCTAACTAGCTAAACTTCTAGAATTTGATTAGAACGGGACTATCGCTGCAACTCGCTGCAACTCGCTGCAACTCCTGTGTAGCCAGGATCTACAGCATGACCGCCAATAAAAACCCAACCAGTGAAGGTCAAGTTTGTCTCGGGGGAAAGTTAAACTGTCATTGGACCCGCAATGAAATTAATAAGAACATAGGAAGAGTTCGAAGTTAAGGTTCTTCCCTCAGCTCCGTTGCAAAGCGGATGACAGGTGACAAACAAAGGTTTAGTAACCTTTATGAAAACATTATGCACCACGGACAATAAACATCAATTAAGGGGGCCTATCTTATGAGCTATTAGCTACCTGCCAATAATATTTTTCACAAAATTGCTTAAAAGCACGGAAATTTATCCTTGTCGCGACAAGATCGGTGTAGTAATTTGATTAGAAGTGTCTTTTTTCACATAATTTAATCTGATTTCTGATCCAATGATTTGGCTGTAAAGGAAGGGTAAAAGATAATCTTTGATAATTAGGAGTTACCAAAAAGTTTATTAAGTTATGACTACATTATTATGTACAAGTTCATTGCCTAAATTTGGATGTTCAGTATGCGGCGTAACCAAGATGAGAGCCATAGAGTCCANCCTCGCCTACGCCGCTCCCCTGGCGCACGGTGCCTACGGGCTCGGCGCTGGACACGGTGCCTACGGCATTGCCGCTGGTCATGGACTCTACGGCTCCCACCTTGGCTATGCCGCATACTAATCATCTAGTTTGGACAAAGAACCTGTACATAGTTAATTAAGACCCTGTCAAATTTGACGTTAATGCTGTGATTAAATAATTTGGTGACTCCATAATAGTTTTGTACTTATTTTGTACTCATGTAGAAATTATGATAAACCCCCTTACGCCCCGATGGGCTGCAATAAAAACAGTTTAAAAATAATAATGCATAGTTAAAAGTTATTTCAAATAAGCAATTACGTCTCTGTAAGTCAAGATAACACAATTTAAAAAGAAACATCTGACTGCATTTTTGTTACGATAAACGGTGCTTTTTAACCCCCGTATATGTATGTGTCTACCTACATTTATGTATAAATACGCACTACTAGGATCGTTTCTTTCAATGAAAGGAGCCTACGGGTACTTATCGTTTTTCGAAACTTAACTTTCTCGTTCAATTGGCGTTAAGAGTAGCAAACTGGTACTACTCGTATAGTTGTTGAAGCATAGGATGGCAAATAGAGGCAGAAACTTTGGGGTCACATTTTTCATGACTATATCACAAAAGATAATTGTTTACTGTACCTCAGTCACGCTAACTATATGATGTAGTTTACTAACTTTAATCGAAATATAGGTAGACACCAGGCTTTGGCAAAAATCCCACTGGCGACAAACATAATTATTTTGATTGATATAATGTTTGGTTCAATTTAGTTAAACTCATACTCGTAAAAAATCATTAAACCATAATACTCATTTTATTTTTGAGAGTAGGCTTTTAAAAATCACTTTTACTCGTCCCAGTATTAACCCTACCACTACTTTAATAATAGACTAGTACTAGAGAAAAAGCCGCGCTAGAAACTCAGTCACTATTATATTGTCAGCCTCTTTTTCAAGGATTTACAGTCTTTAAAACACTATCTAAAAGATTTTCAGATAATTACGGAGTTTGGATTTCAAATTATTTAAATAATAATCAGTTCTGCGCGATGGAACAGGGTGAACCTGGATGCGGGCAACGAAGGACCAGTCGATTTGGAAATACATGGGGGAGGCCTTTGTCCTGTAGTCGACGGAATTAGGCTGAAATGAACTGCTTTTCCTTATAATGCGGAGAATAATTTCAATAAATAGATACCAACAAAACAATTTGTTTATTTAAATTGTATGACAAATACGTGTACTTACTTAGTGCTGACATTATAGCTTAAAAAAATTACCAAGGAACAATGACATGCAGCTAGAAAGAAATGAAGCGGTCTTGACTCCGGCTAAATCACTCATCTGATCATGAGTAGCATAGGCCTACCTATTTATTAATATTAATAGGTACCAGTCCTAAGTCATCGTTATCATTAAGCTATATTTAGTTCTACTTTTGTTACTACAAGCATTCGCAAATAATGAGTTTTGATAAATGCCAATAGTAGATCTATTTGAATGGCCGATCGAACCTTGAAATTTACAGCGGCAAATATGTAGTTTTTGTAAACTAATTCCAATTGTATTCCAATGCTACCAATAAATAATAAATCAGCAATAACTTCAAGTATTGAAGTTTAATCGATAAAGAAAGGATTAACGATATGCACGCGAACTTTATTGTGCTTATTCATTGATTGATTATACGTATAGGTTGCCAGTGTTTTTCACCTTGAATCAGTGCATAACATAATTAAACATGCAAAAGTTTTTAGAGAGTTTTATATCTAAAGGGACCGAATGACTAGCTTTCTAAATTTTTAATTTTGACAAGACGCAAAGGTTGTGTATTTGACTATTCAGAAGAAGTTACGGTAGGTAAGTCATCATAAATGGGTTATACATAACTAAGGTGGTAAATAAAAAGTTGAGGTAGAGTTACCAAAATGGTTTAATAAATCACAGCAATAACGTCATATTTGACTGGGTCATTCTAATAAACTAATACAGGTACAATTTTATAACAGNAGGGAATAATAGCGGGGTAAAATAATTAGACAGATGCGGGTAGTTGAGAAAAAATTAAAAATAAGAATACCCACATTGCATTGGCATAAGCAATAATATTAAGTTTATGATTCAGGTCAAAATGATCCGTTTAATAAAAAGAAAAAAAAAGTATTTTATTTGCCAACAAAAATTTTACAGTCTGTTTATCTAGCGGCTGCTGCACTAAGCTGTGCTTCTGTCGCGGCAGCCATAAGTAACACAGGTTAACAATTTTGATAAAATATAGTGAGGACACATCATGGTACATGGCAATTAACATAAACTTGTAACTTAGTGCCTTTTTCCTGTGATGCGAATTTTGGCACGCGTGCATCTGGTCCGCATACGAGCTGCCCGCATTTCATTATTTCATTCGTCAATGAGTTTATCCTATTACGCGGGCTACTCGCACGCAATCAGTAGCGTGATTAATTAAACGCACAGTCACTGTGTAGACTGTGACACTGTGAAAGTTTGTTGTCGACACGAAAAGAAGAAGATTAAACGCACGCCACAGATAGTGGCATTTTTTATCTTTTAGTTGGCCGATAGTTGAACCCGATTCTAATTTGTATGAAGAATCGGCTGATACCAAATCGGTGTAATGTGCGCACTCTCATACATCTCCATACTGATCAACAGCCTGACCCAACTGTCGGCCAACTAAAAGTCGGTGATCTGCGCCTAGGCACAGTAGTATCTCTTGACTACAAGCTACGAGTTACAGGTTTGAATCTATACTAATATTATAAATGCGAAAGTAACTCTGTCTGTCTGTGTGTCTTGCTTTCACGCCTAAACCACTGGACCGATTTTGATGAAATTTGGCACAGAGATAGTTTTTATCCCGGTTTTTGAAACAGGGACGCGCACGATAAAGTTTTTCTGTGACAGACAAAATTCCACGCGGGCGAAGCCGCGGGCGGAAAGCTAGTTCTACATAAAGCAACATCTATATTCGTTTTATTTACTGGAAATGCATGAAAAAGCTCTTCCTAATTTGGAAGCAAGTAATTGTTCTGATGATTGGAACAGCTCAATTATCATTTATTCTTACTTTGTTTTATTCAATGTAAAAGACAGAAAGACAAATAACTGGTGAATAAGGTAAGTACTACTTGAAAAGATAGCCAACAATCATGTTGTCATTCGCAATTTGTACTGAGATAATTGATGACTTCGAAATGCTATGAATTAATCGACTCTACAATACAATTTCTTTACTTTTCTCTTGTATTGGCACTGAAAAATGCTAAATGTAAAAAAAATCTGTAAGAGCCATCTTACTTATTAACAAACATTCTGAACCTATTGATTTCCTACGAGATTCGATATTCCTGCTTTATGGTTATAAATCCAAAACCTTAATCCACTACTAATATGCGGAAGTAGTAACTTTTGTCATTCTATTGGTTTGTTGTCACTTATTTTTTCCGTACCTACGGCTAGCTGATAACCGTAGGCGGTTTTCTACTGGAAAATAAGCAAGTGTAGAAGTCTCTCAACCTTAACTTTAAGCTCCGGATGTTATTTTCATGTTGTATAGAGAGAGCGAGGTCCCAGCTCTTAATTTGAGTAAATTATACTTTATCTACAAATATTGTTTCCAGTGCGATGTACGCTGTGAAGTAAAATAAAAATGCAGAGCCTATTAAACAAGATTTCATGAGCTTCAGCTACGCATAATGACGTGTAGTTATAATTATGAGGAGAGTCTCACAACTAATTTTAGTAATTTTAGAGGCGTCTCCTAAAGTCTCACAACGAATTTTAGAGGCATCCCCTTAAACCCGGATCACATCCATGTGACATGGACTGCAGCAGACAATCGTTCGTTCGTTCGTTTTAGTCAAAGAACGTCCAATGCTGGACAAAGGCCTCCTCCAAGATTTTCCACAATGCACGGTCCTGCGCTCCTATTAAGTGGACCGACTATCTGGTAAAGGTCGCGTGAAGAGCCTGCAGACAATATTTTATTCCAAAAGCGCCAAGAACTCTCAAATGAACTGAATGTACCTACACAAATTTCCCATAACGCTTCATACCTAATTGCCTGTCACACGCGAGCTCTTTCTTTAGATCATCGAACGGCCTTGCGTCCGCGTCCGTATGCTTTGACGCGTAAAGATCAACCGGCCACGCCTGCGCGTACGCAACTTCATATATAAACTCCCGGCTTCGTCTATCCGTACTCATTTCCCGAGACACCTCTAGTCCCTCACAATGGCCGCTAAGGTGATCTATTTTATTTTTGTGATTTGTGAATTTAATTTAAAATAGTGCTCTCGTTTTGTGTTAATGTTGGATTTTTTAATTTGCGAAATATTTTTTTTATTTTTGCTAGAATTTATTCAAAGCTCCATAATTTTTGCCGAGTCAAGTCAAGTTACTAAAAGTGTTTTCAATAGGTATTAATGAAATAAAAGTTTCTAAAGAAAATAAATTATAACATAATTGTGAATCAACTTAACATTTACAACTACTTAGTTTGTTGAATATTTTGCCTACGTGTAAACTGAAACATTTATTTAGACAATTAAATTAAAAATTAAATACTTAAAGAAAAACAAAACAAATATAATTTCAAAACTATCAAAGTTCGCCTAATCTTTATACCTCGTACTTGAATAATTATTTACTAGATAGTTTTGTTAGATAGATCAAAGTTTGATTCAAGTAGGTAATTTACGTGCATCAGGACTTCAGGACAATTACCCTCCGCGCTGGAAAGTTTTACATACGCTACGATAGCCTACGATATGAGGCACTGAAAATGTTTCCAGTTAGCAAATAAATCTTTGACCGTCACGGGCAAAAATTTTCTGCGTACCTTTAGATATCAAATGGGCAATTTGTAAGTACTCTACAATTAGTTAATATGTCTTTTTGTTGTTTCAGTTTGTCGTAGTGCTCGCCGCGTTGGTGGCCGCGTGCCAGGCGTCCGTGGTGCCCCTTGCGCGAGCAGACGCCGACTACACCAGCTTTGCGTACGACGTGGCCGACCCCAACACCGGCGACTACAAGAGCCAGGTGGAGACGCGCGTGGGCGGCACCGTGGCCGGCCAGTACTCGCTGCTGGACGCCGACGGCACCAAGCGCACCGTGGACTACACCGCCGACGACGTCAACGGCTTCAACGCCGTCGTGCGTAAAGACCCCGCTGTGGTTGCTGCCCCGGTGGTCGCCGCCGCCCCTGTGGTTGCTTCCGCGCCTGTGGTTGCCTCCGCTCCCGTGGTCGCCTCCGCCCCTGCCGTCGTCGCCGCGCGCACCGTAGCTTCTCCCGCTGTCTACGCCGCGTCCGTGCCCTCAGTCTACGCCGCTCACAGCGTCGCTGCTCCCGCGGTCTACGCTGCGTCCGCTCCCGTTGTCGCTGCCCGCGCGGTCGCCGCCCCTGCTGTATACGCCCGCACCGTCGCCGCCCCAGCGGTGTACTCTGCCCCAGTCTACAACTACAACACGGTCGCAGCCCCAGCGGTCTACTCCGCTCGTGTAGCCTCTCCCTACGCCGCCTACTCCACCTACTCCGCCGCCCCCGTCTCATACTGGTAAACCTCCGATAGCCTTGCCTCAAGGCTTTAGCGACATACCATAAGTGTTCCGATCTTCGAATTGTAAATAGGTAATTGTTACTTGTTTGTACAGACAGTATGTAATACAATAAAGTCACTTAAAATATTGTACATCTTACTTTTATTGAATGCCCTTAGGATTAACACATTACCTTTCATTCTATGGTAAATATGGAATGCAACTCAGTAATATTAGTCGTAGTTGTTATAGGCGGATACATGTTACACCCACAAACACAAGTGATCTTGTTAGCATTGCCATTTATGGAATGAAGAAATAATGAAGGCACAACATTGAACTAGAACCTACTCTACTACAACTACTAGGAAAATCAATGACCAATAATTATTACCTACCTCGTATCATAAGTTCTCCAAACTTTTTTTTAAAGTTATGTGCCAAATCTAAACACTTAACTACTATTAACACTGCAGTACACGCGCCCCTTTTTTTACACGAATACACGCGCGGCCTACTCTGGTAAGCCAATTTAAAATCACTGTAAATCAGTTTATAAGCAATTTATGAATAGAATTACTATGTAAATGATAAAGGTGTTTATTATAGTTATTTTATAATCAAAGTTTCTTTATATAACTATTTGGGATCAAACATTATAAACAGCCTAGAGGCCTATGTTCAGCAGTGGACGTCCTGTGGCTGAAATGATGATGATGATGATGATTATAAACAGATTTAAAAGTTGTAAATTTTTTGGACCAAAATTGCACTCTGAGACCAATGTTAACAAAAAAAAAATTACTGAAAAAATATGATTAGTTTTTTATCTGTCATAGTATTCATGACTTTCTACTGCCTGGTACATGGTGTAAGTCCATTTGTTACAAGTCTTTCATAATTTTTTTGTCGAGTGATTTCGGGCTTTTGAGTAGACCCGCAGTTTTGACGGCCAATTTTAGAAAAGTGCGCAGACTCTAGCGACTGAAGCTTTACTGGCTTACTGAAAAATTTAGTAAACGAGGCTTTCCTGGAATGCCAGCTCTCTGGCGCAAGTTTTCATAAAGTTATAGCGAAAAATGTTACCCTGGTCTACTATAGTAGTCCGCGCGTGTACTCTAGTGTTAACTCTTATAATCATGTAGTCCAATAAACAATAATTGTTTATTGAAGTTTTGATGATCTTAAACGTATTTAATTAGGCCTATTACACTAGACCTTGACTACATTTACCTATATTAGGAACAAAAAAATAATTACTTTATGCCATATTAAATTTTGATGTAACGATACCCGCGATGATTAGACACAGTAAATTCGATAACTTGGATTCGCTACTTCTCCAACTACCTAATGTTAGTGAGCGAGCTTATTTGAGTTTCTGTACGATTAATTTTTAACGATATTATATTTTTAGTGCATTTAAAGTACAATTCGTTACGTTATTATTCTAAAATAGTAGAGGAGATGCTTTTTCTCAGCAGTGGAACAATTTACCAAAATCAAAAAGCTTTTATTCAGTCCTAGCTTTCCGCCCGCGGCTTCGCCCGCGTGGAATTTTGTCTGTCACAGAAAAACTTTATCGCGCGCGTCCCTGTTTCAAAAACCGGGATTAAAACTATCCTATGTCCTTTCTCGGGACTCAAACTATCTCTATGCCAAATTTCTTCAAAATTGGTTTAGTGGTTTTGGCGTGAAAGAGAGACAGAGTTACTTTCGCAATTATAATATACTCAACATCAAATAAACCGCACCTTCCGCGACGCGAACTTTAGCGATTTTCTTCTGACATAATCATGGTGCCCCAACAATATTGGTGTTATTTGAAAGCCCAATAAATATCCTTTAAGAAAAACACATTTAATTTCTTAATAAATTATTAACATATACCATAAATAGTTATTTAATTTTTAGCGTTAAGAGTCGCATCTCAAACTTACATTTATAATTTTCAAAATATACCATAAATGTGACTTGAAAAAATACCTCACTTTGGGACCACCTATGGGATCAATTAGACCAATTTTTATGGTTATAAAACCAAATAATGATCTCACGTGTCCTCTTTAACAGATGGATAGCAATTAAACCCAACTTAACAGTTTTATAGCCACGAAAGTTGGCTCTAGCGTAACTACCTATTTTTTGAAGAAGTGACTCTGGATCCTTCTAAAGACACATTTTTGGGGTAAAAACCTTTCCATTAATGAAATGAAGGTTAGAACTAGGATTTTAAATGGTACCAATATTGGTGGGAAGTGGGGATGTATACGTTTGAAAATGCTTGTCGCGAGAGGTGCGATTTATTTGACGTCGAGTGTATTAGTATAGATATAGATTAAGGCTATTTCCAGGACTCTTGTACAAGTCCTAAATATAGCTTGCCCTGCTATGTAACACCATTAGCTATTACTACGAAAAAGAGTCGAGATTTTATTTTCTGCTAATTGATTGACATGAAAAGTTTACTTACTAATCCTTAAAATAGAACATTTTAGAATGAATAGTCGAGGGACACTAAGCGGCGTAAAGTGTATTGCTATAATAGTAGATCACTATACAAATAGGTATCTTACCGGCAGACATAATAATATCCTTTTGCTCAAAATAGTTACTCCATATTTATGCACAGCCTCATTGCGGTGCCATTTAAATAGTCCTTGAACGTTTTTTATACCCTCGTCAGGATTGTGGTTACATCCGCTGGGACGAATGATTTGGCAGTCAAAATAGTTTGATATTGTTGAAGGTAATTTGAATAAATAATCCTTAATACTTGAAACCATTAAATTTAATTAATTTGTAATTTAAACGTTTGTGATATGAATATTTGGCTATTAACTCTATAAAAGATAGTATTATTTTTTGGCTATAACGACCGAGATATAATGTATATGTAACACTATACGGTCAATGTACACGGTCTTATCGCTAGAAAGTAATCTCTTCTAGACGACTTATTTAATTTTTCGAGAATTTTACATAAGTATTTTGTTAATAGGTATGTCCTAAACTCCACTATACATAGGCACGTCTTAAATTCAAGTAGACATTTAATTGATAAATCTAGACTGGGTTATTTCTTCCTAAATACCTTCGTTTAATACAAATGGCTAGATGTAGAGTACAGCTCTATCAATAATGCTCTATTTGATATCTACTTGTATCAATGGAAAAAAATAGGTGTCAAATCGTGTAATTTATCACCACGTTCATTGCCTTTTGTGGTGCAACACCATATTTGATCGAGGGTACTTACAATGAGTTGTAGACCACTAATTAACAATGTGTAAACGTGTGCTATTGATTTGAAGACTTTAAAACAACAAAATACGGTAGTTTCACTTTTATTTTACAAAAGAAATTTATAATTACATAATATTTACAATAAAATATGGAACATGGCCGGAGCTTGCGTTGACGTTAATTTACCAGTAGGTGACGGGGGCTTGGGCGTAGGAGAGGGGAGCGGAGTAGAAAGAGGGAGCGGCAACTACGGGGGAAGAAGCAGCGTAGACGGAGGGAGCAGAAGCAGCGTAGACGGCGGGAGCAGAAGCAGCGTAGACTGAGGGAGCGGCGTAGACGGAAGGAGCGGCGGCGTAGACAGCGGGAGAAGCTACGGTGCGCGCGGCGACTACGGCAGGGGCGGAGGCAACCACAGCAGGGGCGGCGGCAACCACTGGGGCAGCAACCACGGCGGGGTCTTTACGCACGACGGCGTTGAAGCCGTTGACGTCGTCGGCGGTGTAGTCCACGGTGCGCTTGGTGCCGTCGGCGTCCAGCAGCGAGTACTGGCCGGCCACGGTGCCGCCGACGCGCGTCTCCACCTGGCTCTTGTAGTCGCCGGTGTTGGGGTCGGCCACGTCGTACGCGAAGCTGGTGTAGTCGGCGTCTGCTCGCGCAAGGGGCACCACGGACGCCTGGCACGCGGCCACCAACGCGGCGAGCACTACGACAAACTGGAACAACCACAGAGAAAATGAATTATCCGCATTCATCCATAATAATGAAAACACGAATTTATCTAGACATCTAAATGCCCTCTATCACTAAATGCTCTTAATGTATGAATTTAAACAATGGCTATAATGTTTTTAATAAAACATGGCACGATATTATTAAAATACAACAAATGAAATTTGAAATTATTCATTATCGATAGAAACTGAATGTGTTTTATTTTTAGAATAAAAATTTAAACTGCTTTAAAAATCACACATTCAGAACCATAAATTATTATTAATTGTGGGCTCTGAAAAAGTAACTCTATTTGTAATTTATTTAATGTAATTGAATGAATTATGTAGAATCATTAGTTATTAAAAAAAATATTGACAAATAATAAACATTTAACATTAAAAAAATATTCTTTCAATTAATTTTCGAATAAGAATAAGAATAAGAAATTTATTCATAATGTTCGAACATCTCTTCACAAAAATTGTCGCCTACCTTAGCGGCCATTTCGTTATACTTGAGTTAATCCACCCAAAGAATGAATGTATGGCATGAAGGAAGCCGCGTTTATATAGCAACGTCCCGCGCGATTGATATTAAAGTCTTAGCGGTCACTTGACGAACTTGAAAATGGTTCAGCATTATAATCTGCAATAAACCGACTCTACATAGGTACAACCCTATCTGATCTACGCACACAATTCTGAACCCTAACGTAATATCAGAAGGTAAATAATATAAAAGCAACTTACCAGGTATTGTAGAGACGTTGTCAAAAGACTAATGGGAAACTGGTTCGCCATTTATTATCATGCTCCATAACCATGGTTCCGTTTAGCGAAGAAATTCCTGCCATAACTTGTATTGTTGATTTAATTAATTGTATTGTACACTATGGAGATAAGAACTATTGATTAGCTGGCCGAGTTGTATTCTTATGGTGACGCACCGAAGTTTTAAAAATATTTGGGTCAATGTGGTTGAGTCCTGTTTCGCTTGAAACGGCAATCAAGTTTGGTTCTGTTCCTGGCTTTTCGAGCAAATGTGGTGCTAGAAGCAGGAATAACTGCTCAGCCCAGGGTATGAGGGGTNCAGGGGATGAGGGGTAGATTGGCAAACGCAGCTTGCCATCCAGGTAGACCAAGGTGTACCAGGGCCATTCTGAAGTAATGAGTAAAGGAATCTGCCAACCAGCCCCACGCTCCTTCTCTGGTCGCAAGCCACACCGACCAGGAGCCTCCGGTGTAGACCAAGCATACTTTTCCGATGGTTCGACAGCTGTCCAGCTCAAAAACTTTACTTTTAGTATTCAGAACGGGTCTGGGACCAGCGTGTTGCCTTGTCAAAGAGAAGTCTAGCAAATCTTTCAGAGCTGGTGATAAGCAGAGCTCGTTTAGCGCGTTGACTTTGATAGATCCCACTGGCAGTACCTCGTCTGCTGAGTACTTGTAGTGCCAGGTCAGCTGGAAGCCGTCGCTTGAAGCGTAGAAGTTCCTGAGGTCATCAGGGAGCATCGCGGAGTGCCTTTGTTCCCAAGTTGAGAGGGCCACGCGATCGCAGGGAGGCCTTCTTTCAACATTCACATTACAAATCCTTGGATCCGACTCTAGGAGCTTCGTCACACCCAAAGTTATATTCTCGTAAAAGGAATCCTCAGACACTAAATCCACACAGAAACTCATTGCGGAAATTTTGACTATTTATAAATAAGTTTAGGGTTTTTACAAAATTGCAAGTGATTTCGTAATAGGACAAACGGTTGTCATAGGAGACAGTTGCTATGCAGTAATTGCGTCATGTTTCGATAATGTTGCCTGTATCTACTCAATAATTTTATTTTCGAAGAGGTTTTTTCACTTTTTATCACATTTGAAGAGCGACTTATAAAAGGACTTTCCTATTTCAATTTGAAAAATATATTTTTTAGTACCGTAATTACAAAGAAACTTATCGTTTTCATGTGTTATATGAAAATTTAATAACAATCCTGTCTACATTACCAATCTACGTGTATTCTGACCCCCATGAAGCAAAATGAAATGAATAATTAACATACAAAAGGTGCTAAATTAGGTGCGCAAACCTTTTAATAAACTGCCTTGACTTTTGTTATTAGTTCCTTCCTCATAAATATACATAATAAATTGTCATCTGCGAGTCGATACTAGGTATTCGTTATAACCAAGCGCCTAAGCCAAATTCACTAAAACAGATCCCAAATAATTGGTTTTGCTCGTACAAGACGTTTTTAATCCTATCCTACTTGTCTCCCTTGTTATTAGTGCTTAACACTTTTGTATTACATAATCCTTAAATTAATCGTTGTTTTTAGGGTTCCTTACAATAGTTCCGTACCTCAAAAGAAAAAAACCAAGCCCCATTTCTGCCAATGTCGAGTGGTTTCTTTGATATAATGTACCAATACGAGAAAACTATGCAATACTCATTAATATACCTACCTACTGTGATAGATCATAGGTGCTTTAGTTCTATTGCTTTTCGTCGGTTCCATGAAGATATGCCCGTAAGCAGGTTTTAAGACGCCATCGGGCGCAAAGCGAACCTCGATGCGTCTGAAATTCGAAGTGTTTCAATTTTTTCATTTATTGATCACTTCACTGCACTTTAAAACACAAAATAACACCAGATTTGTACACTAAAGTCCATTAAATAATAAATGAAAACCATTGAAACAGAATAAGCATGGTCGTTCGTTCAACTACCCTCCGTATATGTGTGATAAATTGTTTACATTGACATCTAAGTTAACTACCTACCTGTCAGTTATATAAAAGTAGAGGAGGAAAAAAAGGAGAACAAAAGTAAATAAAACGACGGGCATATTTTAGCAACATTTTTTTATTAATTTAAGAATTCCACAATGGAACAAATTTCTTCAATATAATCTAGACCTAGGTCAGATTGTAGGTATGTGTGTGGAATCAGACACTGTTTGCTTTCACTGTACATATATAGACAATTATACACCTGTACTTATTTAAAATACATTAGGACAAAACAATATTTGCATATCTACTACTGTATATTATTTTTTTTCAGTCTGGATACACGAATTTCAAGAAGTGTAATAAGTAAGATTGTCCAAATTATGCTCTCTGTCCCTGTACATCATATGAAAATACGGTAGACATGAATTTAGATAAATCTTATTCTAGATAACATTCAAAAATATAACTATAGTTCTATTGTAGATATTGTTATATTTAATTTATTTAGTAGGTATATCTATTAGACATTATACAAGCTTACTTATTGAAGAATGTAATTGTATGCTCAACGTATTCCCTTTTCTAAGGTTAGCGGCAATAGTGTGTTAAAAACATTGCTAGTTAGTCTTGTTAGGCGTTCAAACTGAGAACTCTACATTGGCAGTCCAAAAGACGTTCTACTCATGGCGTGTATCCAAATTGAAAAAAGATTGAATTAGCATCAGAGATTTGGTCTCAGAAATACCTAATGAAGACTATCAAAGTGGTGGAGACGTAGTTATCTTCAATTATATTATGTAAAGATAGAAAGTCAAATCGTTTGACCGAAAATATCTCTTCAATAGGTAAAAGTGACATAATCTCCGATGTCGCATGTTCCCAATACCTGAAGCAAACGTAACGACACTACACATAACTAACAAAATACGCAAAAATGTTTTACCACACTAAAAAATTCGCTAATCAGGTAAATTATTACCGTTACAATTAATTTTACGCACAAACCAATTCGCTAATACCTGGGCCTAAACCTCGCCCTGTTAATTCGTATGAGATTAAGTAAGGTCTCGTGGCCCATCGCAAAAACTAAAGCATTCGCATTGTGGTTAAACCATTAGCCAAACATTAAATCCAGCGGACCAGATATCTGCCATTTTACATTTAATAAGTGTATATGTACATTCAACCCGCGACATTCATCTAAACCACGCTACTAGTCCTATATGGTACAAAAAAAAGAAGTCAACTAATAAATATCTAATGTAAAATCACAAGTAGTGCTATTCTTACTGTTAAGGAATTTATATTTTTTTTTCCATATATAAAAAAGTCGCTTAAAAAAATCACAGACAATCACCTTTTCTTTTACAGACATAGACCGACACCGAACCGATCGAATTATTTCTTATAAGCATTACCTTGCTACGTACAAAACCCTATTTACTTAGTTTTACAACCGACCTGGTTTATACAATCTTATACTTTATCCAGTATATACCAATGTTTCCGCGTACTCAGGTGTCCACCGTTCGAATCTAGCACTGGCCATGAAAAATATAGGATTACATACAGAAATATAATAACCATATACGTAATACATTATCATTATACATACAACCTGAAATTTGACTGCTGTAAACGTTACTGCGTTTAAGATTTCACCTTATTATTGTAGTAAATATTTGATTTTATTAATTTCTAGCTTCCCAAAAATACATTTTTATTGATTTACAGTTTAACTTTTATCGTACAGCAGTCAAATTCAGAGCTCTACCACCTCACACTGCGGGCTGTCGTACATAATACAAAGAACAATACTTAAATCCACTCAATTTTGTACTATTCTCGAATAACCTACACTAAATTAAATTTTACTGATGCCCCAAAAAATACGATTTTGGCAACAATAAAAACCGATATTATTTTTTAATTAATTTGTACTGGCAGTAACTCTTTAAGACTTCAGAAATTTGTACTTTAGTTCTTGTATAGAGTGCTCGTTGTTTTTTTATTCTTTTAGTGACGTTTACCTACATTTCGTTACCGTGTAACACACAAAGATGACACCAAGACATTTAAGTGACATCGAGACTTACCCCATTCGAACTTATGACATGAATTTAAGGATAAACATTTTTTTATTTCATGAAACAATGTTTTATTTACAGTCATGAAATGACCATGTACGCGTGGACGCCACCCTGACTACCTTTCAAACATCAATATACATAATAATTTTATACCTACATGTCCATCATGAGAATCGGCCACCGCAGCGCGCGGGAGTCGATTCTACCTACGTTCCGAAACTAACCTGTCTATACCAAACAATCCAAGTACTTCGTGAAATTACTCTAGTGATCAGGAAGTGAGCATAAAATTACCATTTTAATTTTACTTACATAACATTAAACGCGAGAGAACATTTATATTTTTTTTTTCAATATCAAATTCGTAAAGATGAGCCGACCGGGTGTTGTTGTCGGCCCCTTCGCTAGTGCATCCTTAAAATATAAAAACATCCAATGATTACTTAAATATTTCCTGTCCAGTTAAGTGCAACTATTTTATGAATATTAGGTACTTAAATGTCAATTCCTTAAATAATGTACTTAAATATTTAATAATAAACATTAAACACGATGGACGGGTGTAACTTGTCAAAGACTGAAAAAAATAAAAGAAAAGGAAATAAAAGGAAACAAAAATAACGAAAAAAATAAATTTTGTTACAATTTTTTAATTTTTTAAACCTAACAAACAATAATTTTCAATTTTTTTCATCTCCTTAAAACATAGTAACATCTATGAAACACAAAAAGTAACTGGGAAAATGTAATGATAATAAAATTACGAATAAAAAAAATGATTTATACTCCGGGGAGTGAAGGAAGGTACAACTAGATTACTTGAGATGACTTGCGGCCGACCCCCAGAAGATTGTGCTTACGAAATGAGGTACATCGATGAGATTATTAAATCTAACCTAATTAACACTTACTGGCTAAATATTAACTAGGACTATCAACCCGGTGGCTCGTCGTGAGGGCATCTACCCTCAGAGACGCACCAGGCCGAAAGCACTGTCTACCTTGCAGAGATTCAAATGTATGCGATTTATTTATCATTAATAGTATTCCAACTGAATTATTTACAATTCAACAATATACAAGGTTGTTCCACACAACTTTAGGATCAATAAATATATCAGAGTGGAATAACACTCGGAAACATGATACAAAATAAAAAATATAGAGGTATACACATCAATATATTTTTCTCGAAACATTTCAAAATACATCTGCGTGATAGAATTTTAGAAGGGACTAAAGTTGAATCCTGAGGTAGAATATTTGTACTTTAAATTTTTTATTTTTTTTATCTTTTCACAATTTCTCTTAAAAACTTAATTTTATATTTTCATCTTCATATAAAAAATCTATAAGCTTACACTTACAACTAGGTTTACTCCTCGAGGTAGATAGACTTATCCTAAGAGGGCCCCGCATGAGTCTACATTCGTTTTTACTGATTTTAAATGCCCAATGTTATCGACCAGCGAAAAGATATTAATTTTCAACCAATCGAATGTAAAATCTGTACAAGGCCCATGTGACGGCAGAGGGTCACCATACCCGTAACAATCTTTGGCTTTACCATCACGACATTATCGCGATTTATTTACAAATAAAGAAACTAATCTAAACTTAACTAACACAAAAGAGCTTATCGACTGACGACCCAGTGGTAACGAGACTAGCAAACTAGTCCAATATCAGTACCTCTATCATGAACAACTTTCGTCTTCGTATCGTTTGCGTATTCGACAGAATTCGATACTCAACCTTCGAATTCAACGATAACGTGACAATTTTGATTCTCAAAATGTTTCGTGCAACCATTTCTCGTACTAAGTTCACTTTATGACACCTTCACAAGGGCGCTGTTGTAGTTTTCGTACTAAATCTTTTGATGGCGATTCGAATACGCAAACGATTCGAACTCGAAAGTTTTTCGTGCTAGCCGTACAGGTCGCATTACGTCCAATTTAATCACCAACATTGGATACTTTACTGTGATGTTTGACCAAATGTTGGATCAAGATGCTTATCGTATACCAGCGTAAACACTTCACTTTTGTCCAACCTTTGCTTTCCAACAGGGTTACAGCAACAAAACTAAGGGAAATCGGCCCAAGTCTTAAAACGGGGGGATTGCAATACACCGACTAAACGTGATTTACTTATCACACCAAATACAACATTACGACTATTAGGGAACACTTACTTGTCCACTAATTAGCTTTAACAATGCATCAACTTAATTTACACGTGTTATATGCAAATACCTATATCAAGGTATACGAAACATTTTTACATTAGGTAAAGTGAAATTTCCTTCAAAAACAAAACTACACAAATAAAGAATTGACGCGTGATAGTGTAATCTAAAGTTTGTACCTTATCATTTTAGATAAAAGCAAATCCAATTGATTTCAAGCCCCTAACGATCACTCATAATCGTAACTTATACCCATGGTCTTACTAACCGAAAGAAAATAATAAAAAGCTTAAAACATGATGCATTAATGCAATTCTCTTTTACGTATCACAAAAAACATTAAATGTCGAAAAGAAATCACAACTATGAATTTTTAATTCATAAGAAAAAAAAACGAAAGGACAAAAATAGTTTTTGTTTCCAATAATAATAAAACATAAATGTTAACAAATTTTCGTTCGAAATAGCAAAACATTGTCTTAACAATAATATACACTTACCGAAAAAAATCCAATAATATGAAGAAGTAATGATTTTTATACAATAAATTATACTCGGCCAAATACAAAAGTAGTTTAGTGCTGTGTATAGCCGAGCTACTGACCGATCGTTTCCGTTTGACACTTCGCTCGAATGCCTATAATTTTGATCGTTTTATACTTTTCACCACTCACACACCCAGGTGTGTTATTCTAAAAGTGCTCGTAATCGGAAACCCAACTCCTTAGGGATGTAACTCAATCCAAACGAACCCAGACGTCACAGACAAACTAACCGTAAATAAAATATGTGCGATAATCTTCAGCAGTACAATAGAAAAATAATCTAAATGCAAACTTATTGAAAAAACTGATTCTTAATGCAAGCCACCCAAGACCCAAATTCGATAACATCAAATTCATTATCACCCTCAACCAAATACACGTGCAATCCATTATAGTATACTAGTAAAATGATTGGCGCATATGAAACCTAGAATAAAGAATCAGTACCTTTTATACAGGGTGAAAATGGAGACCAACTCATGTCCCAAAAATTGTCGTGCTTTAGGTTTATCATCAAAATCATATTAAATGTTTTGGTAACTAAATGTTAGTCAAATCGTAAGATTGCTACAAAATAATAAAACAATCTTATTACAACGACTATAAGGTCTAAAAGACAATTGCCATTTGAGGGACAGTAGGCCGTTGTGATTCACCCAGCGCAAAAATAAAAAAACATCGCAAAATTCTATTTTCAAATTCCAGACAGGACAGCTATGAGTCTGTGAAGTCTCACCAATGCAAACTCCCCGGACCCTCCACCTAGACGAACCAGAAATCAATGCAGATTCACCTTTAATACAGGGTGTCAAGAATAAATTTGCAAAACATAAACAGTGAAATGAGTGCTCTGAATAGTCTTAAAAGTAAATCAACACCTTTGAATTAAAATCATAGGCAAAAAAATATTTTGGTTTGCTTTTTACTCTCCTCGTTGTACAACATACTTCTTCTTTTGTATCAAAGTTGAAAAATTGCTGTATTTATATTCAAAGTGTGTACTTTAAAAAATACATAGGTAAGATTTTTCATTGACTACTCAAAAAAGTCAAGTCTCAAGTCTTCAATTCAGACGTCTGATCTCACTGTTTAAGGTTTTGCTGACCCCTTACACCCTGTATAACTTCTGCGGTAAAAAATATTCGTGAGGACAGAGATTATAGTAAAATATCAGTTGTGTAAATAGAGTAATAGCCTGCTTATTCGATTCTAAAAATATAATATTGACATCTCGAGTAGGTACAATACACTATAGCTTCTCTTCGGTATATTGATATAGCATATAGGACAATACTCAGCATCTTTCGTGTATTCTAAAAACGAGTAAGCTTCAGCCCATCAAAAGATAACTAAAACGCTGTCTTCCAAATGGTACGAGTAACAAAATCTATAGCATTAAAAAAAGTCACTGAGCCTTCATAAAGCATTTCTCATAAAATATATTCAATTGTGTATCCTAAAATATAAATATAATAAATATGAATGCAACCTATTCCTAAATATCAGGAATAACACACACAGTCGCTACATTCACACTTAACAAAAATATAAAATAAATAGTAGATGTGAACTTAAAATTGAGGTTATTTGGCACTGTCCCGTCGTCGAAGGCGGGGCCCGCACAACATTATAATACTCGCGGCCCCCGGCCCTTATTAAACTATTATTTTCTTTAAAATCTCAACTGGTTGCACTTCAATGACTAGGAATATAGAAGTAGTAAGTGGCCTTCATCTAAATGTACTATGAAATAAAACATCAAAACGGAATGTTAAAATCGACACCATCCCATAGAAACATATAATTATTTGGTCTCAATAGTAACATTCGCGCAGGCGAGCCTGGAGCGAACGACTGAAATGGATTGAAACACCATTCATGCATCACACCTTACATGCACATTTTATAACGTTTCTTTACCTAACTACTTATGTATCTAGGGCAAATTGTACTTTGTACAAAACGAAAACCTTTCAAATTCACTGTACAGTAAAAAACTGCAGAAACCCTACATTCGTATGTCCCGCACGTTTTACCTTCTCCTTAAAACGACAAAGTGGCAAAATAAAATAAAAGATATATCTTTAAGTATAAAGCCCGTTTCCTATTGTATCACAGTTGTGTCAGAATAAAATATGCAACTTAAACCTGGTACATAATCTATTGTCATACGAGTATAGTGTAGTGTAATATGAATGTAAAATAATATAATATAATCAATAAAAACTGAGGTAGTTTTGCCACAATGTAACTTTAAATCATGTTTCAACCTAGGCCACGGCGATTTACAACATTCTCCTATTATTTACATACACTTAGCCTATGACCATCAGTCTCAACATCATCTATAAGATTCCCTAGCTCAGGTAATATAATATAAGCTATGTCGTACTCGACCGAGAGCTCAAAATAAATCGTCTACAAAGGTAACTTCATCTCACAGTCATCCGGACATATACTAGGACATTCGCAAACAAATCAAGGTACTCCAACGCAACGGGTGCAGACGCAAGGTACAATATTTTTGAAACACGGTACCGAACGGAGACGACCTCTGAGCGACCGTCCGAAGTCACACTCGAAATATTAAATTAAGTAACAATTATCGCACAATTTCAAAAACCTTAAAAAATCTTAAGATCAATTTTGAGGTAGATCATTGATTACATAATATGCATCGACGAGGTATTTTATTGTACGCGCTTCGAGACGCGGCGCGCTGGGCCCGGGTACACCGTGCCGCCGCGTCACACGCGCTATGCAACAATACCGCACAAAATTCCAAAGTTAATTAAAAATTCAATTCGAAATTCGCATTCAGTTGTCATAAAGATGTTTTCTAATCAGGCGTCTCAAACTGTCCGGGCGTCAGTTGCATGCGGGTGCGACGCGTTGGCTGACCGCGTTAAAGATGTAACGTCAGCGATCCCGGGCGGCCGGCGGCGCGCTTACTGCGTGTGGTTGGGCAGCGGGCCCTGCGGCAGGTGCGGCGTGACCTGGTGGCGGTGCTCGCGCGCGATGTGGCGGCGCACGGTGTTGTTGCGCGTGAACGTGCGGCTGCAGTGCGGGCAGGGCACGCGGATGCCCTGGTGCCGCTGCCTGATGTGCGCGCGGAGGTTTGTCTCGTAACCGTACAGCCGCTCGCAATATGGACACTTCAGTTTTTTACCTGGAAAATGTATGAAAGAAGTTATAGGACGTGTTAATCAGACTACTATTTCAAAACACCATAGTTCGCTTCGCTCCATAGATCATCATCATCATCAGATTATTTAGTCTTCAGCTCTACTACTGGAACACGAGCCTCGAATCTCCTATCAAGTACTATTTAACACCGGGAGAAAGAAAGGAAAAATAAACAAACATTATGAAAGTGACTTTTGTTACGTGTTCTTCCGTTTTATTGTGTCTACTACTTTGTTACATGGTAATACTACATTGTTACATGTTAATACTAGATTGTATTATGTAAATACCATATTTGTATTATTTTCATAACAAAGACGACTTTATCTGCTTGTGTATTAAAATAACTCTATCGCGATAATATGGTACTGTACTAAGATTTACTAGAGCTAAGTCTTCTCAGAATTTCCAATGTACCCAACATTTATTTCGATTGTTAGGTGTCAAACCAGTGCGAGGTGATGTAGGATCAAAAATCAAGATCTGTCTTTACATTACTGTTGCAAAATCGTACTTGACAACAACAATGCCACAGTGTCTAGCAATTGTGTACATACCATCAGCAGTAGCGATGCCTCCAGATTTGCTCGTAATCATTTTCGCGGGCCAAAGGTCGGGGCCAGGCTTGGGTGGCACGGGTGATGTCGCGATCGGCTTATCGTGGTAGTTGGCGGGCGGCAGGGGGGTCGGCGGTGGCGGCGAGTTGTTGTATCCGGTTGGGTGATAGTCGTTCTCACTTTTCACCCGTAGATCTGGGGAAATCCATCGGGTGTTAAAAAAGAGAAAAATATGAAACTCGGTTCTAGCTACTTTTGTCCATTTCAACTACAATACGAGGGAGGCGATTCAGTATGTTGAACAATATCAAATACAAAAATATAACTAACGATCTGAGGTAGAATTGTGTAAAGCAATCGTAATCATTTGACAGTTCATAACGTACGATTATTCTGTCAAACGCTTTGTTTAACTGACTTTATCGTACGTTATGAACTGTCAAATGATTACGATTGCTTTACACAATTCCACCTCTGATCTTAATTGGACGATTCATTCGTACAAATCGCCGAGAACGGTATGCGAAATAAAAGATGAAAAAACTGTTTAAAAAAATAAATACTTATTATTATCTAATAATCCACTGCCATTAAGTCGTTTTGATAACAATCTCCAATTGAAATAATATTGGTCTCTGAATCGCCAGCCTGTAATCTACCAAACAACAAGGGCACGACATAAAATCTCTAACTACATCCCTCCTAAGAGAGCTACTACCGACCCAGTCTCATACTCTTTGACAAGAGAAGAAACATCTAAATCCACTACAAACCTTCTGCACCTTGGTCGTTGGAGAGGCGTTCTATCATTTCGTCGTTGACCGAAGCGCTGCGTTCGTAGCCGTTGTTCTTGATCGGGTTGCTGAGGGTCGAGGTACAGTCGGGCGGGTTGTCTTCGAAGCGTGTGCCGGCGCCGGGCGACGAGCGAGTGTCCGGTTCGTCGACTACGCTGCCGCAGTGCGATGATGATGAGCTTTGCCTGGAATTAACAGAGATTTTGTTAATACCAAAGCCTTAGTGCCTAAGTATGTATACTAAACTAGAGAACTAGATAAGCGCGGGTTACCTAAAACAACAATAACCTACCTCACGGTAGCTAAAATGCGCATGGAATTACGTATTATCGGCCTTGTGGCGTCACAACACATCTCTTCCTATCGGTCACTCATTTTCATTCTTAATGACTAACAAATTGTTTTCTGGATCTGTAATAACTATTCAGAATTAGTTGGTAAAAATCTAATTATTATTAAAAATCACTGGGAGATACTTGGAGAATTGGTAGGGCAAGAGCAAAGAGCTATATTGGGACGATGGACCATGTAAAGGGCCTACAAGAAAGAATTTGAATTCTTACCTATAATTCCTAGTGTGTGGGCTTGGCGAGGGTTTGGGCGGTGCCGGTCGTCGATGAGTCGTCGAGTGGATGGGTACATGATGAGCTGGCGGTGCATATCTGCCGATGTTGCCGCTACCACCATGTATGGGCATGCCGTACTGAGGCATGACCGGCGCGAAGGTGGCCGTGTGAGTCGGAGGAGCAGACTCCTGCACCTCGCAGTTGCCCGATCCTGACACCGGGCTGGTTTTGATGCGAGCCTGGTGACGATCCCCTCCCGATTGCTGGGTCTGCTGCTTCACCCAAGCATCTTGGGACATTTCCATTGACAAACCTTTCACCTGGAAAATGAAATGAAAATAATGGATTGGAATGGTGTATCCTCAGGTCACTTGGTTCCACTGCAGGAGCGTAATACACTCTCTAATACAGGTTGGAATTTTGTAATGCCACCTGGAGGGAAAGTACTCTTAATACTGTAAATAGAAAATTTTACTCAAAGGAAACATTCCTTTATTTTTGAAAAGAAATAGAACTGCATTCAAAGATTTTCAAAAATTTGCTTGCCATACCCAGGAATCGAACCAACTAAAATCTGTTTAAAAATTACACCCTGTATTTTTATTGCATCGATCGTTAGGGTGAGGTATAAGGATGAAATCTCTCTAACAAACTTGATTAATCAAGTGAAAGGAAAACCATGAAATCTTACATTATTTTAACTATTTACAGAAAATTGTATGGCATAGTAGAGAATTTTCGAAAAAATTTCTGAAATCTTTGAATGCAGTTTTATTTCTTTTCAAAAATAAAGGAATGTTTTCTTTGAGTAGAATTTTCTATCTACATTATTAAGAGTACTTTTCCTCCAGGTGGCATTACAAAATTCCACCCTGTATATTATCAGAAGCAAAATAGGCGATTTGGTTTACAATCCCTAGCCAAAGACAATGCTTGCATGCAAATTAGGAAGGTTTGTAAGATGTGTATGAAATTGGAAAGATAGACGCAACAGTAGATAATTCAAAATATTCGTAATGACGTCGGTAACTGCGCAAATGCAGTGATTAGCATAGAATCGCATGGACGTAATCTGATGTCATTATCATGAATCTTTGAAATCAATTTGGCTTTTAAACCTTTGACATTGAAAATGAATTCTTTGGAAACTACAGTTTGCTTCAAATGGCAGATCTGTACCTTCCTAGACTGCATTTCACTTAACATCAGGTGTGATTGCGGTCAAATACCTGCCTTGTTCTGCATGAAAAAATTATAAGCTCGTAAACGCACCTGCAAATTCTCCCCACTCTTCAGGAAACTCGATAGGGCGTCCTGGCTGACATGCACCTCCCCCTTATACATGAATTCGAGGAGGGCCTGCATGTTGTCCGCCGTGGTGGCCTCCAGGATGACGTAACAGGCGCCCGCATGGCTGGGGGGTGCCGTGTCGAACAACTCTTGAAAGTGCTTGCTGCAAGCTGCCAGGATCACCTTGTGTGCTTTGAACTGGCGACCTGGAAAGATGAAAACGGAATATTAATTCAAATTATTTATTGCTGTTCCACACGTTACATAGGCTGTTCAAAATAATATAATAATGACAGTATGGACCCTGTCGGCCACAGTAAAAATTTGAGGAGGTTTAGTTTTTACCAATAATTCTTTAAGTGCAACTCAGATTAAAAAGTTCATGAGTAGTTTTAGACTGGGGCTTATGGGGGGCTGTCTCGTAAACCCCAGGCTGTAATTATGATTTTTCTCTTATTATTACAGTAAAAAGCTTCCAAAAACAAATAGGTAATTAATCTTTAAAACAATAAAGAATAGGGATGTTTCCGGAACGCAGACCTCCAACAACAAATAACTTTGTAATAACTTGTTTCATTGACAAATAAAAATATACGTGTCCAATATTTTTTGATAATGTAGTTGACGGACTAAAAGTTTTTTTTAAGAAACTAGTTGCAAAACTAACCTACAAATTCACTTTGACACTGATATTAGTTTAAATGTTTAACCGTTATCAACAATTTGAATACGTGTTGCATGACAATACGTCCTGATTCGACCTTCCTCATTATACAATTAACATTGACCCAAATTATTGGCAAAAATTTTACAAACATTCATGCTACTTTGGAATTCCATACACTACGTCCTCGCTTCTCTTGCAAATCTATTATTCAGTAAGTTAGGTCATGAATTGTTTAGTTAGTATTTAAAATATTATCACTTTACATAACTCTCAGAAGAAGTACTCATAAAATATTGACTCAGGTTTTGACGTATAGGGACGTCATCGTACATAGCTAACGCCCGTATTTACAAACATTACTATGAGGTCTCACAATGCGCGTGGCACAGTGTTGACACAGGAACCAATCACAGAGCTCTATTCAACGCTGTGCATTCGATTTGGTGCTTCACTCAAGCAAGCATCGTTTGTGAATACGGGCTCAAGTCCTGAAAAAAGGTAGTAACTGAAAATATTACTGACTTATTCCTAAAATGAATTGATTTAGATTAATACGTTGGAATTATTATAAGCCTTAATAGAAAGACTACTTACACCTGGCTGTACTTACGAATAGATGCTTTTGCGATAATCTATTATTAGGTTTTCCTTATTTAACTTCCAAGGAAGTGTAACACGACTCCCCAGAAGCAGCCGCAGGCGCATCAACTCTATTTCACAATTTAATCATAGGTTCACGGCCTATCAAATATATTTCCACACAGTCCAGATTTGACCCCATCTATTTTAGATTCTGTTAAATTTAAAACCGCTTATACATTGCTTCCCACGCGGTGCGATAAACAAAAACCAAGGCGATGGGCCGGTCTCAAAGCAATTCTACGAATATATCGGCCATTTGTATCACTGACTCGAAGTTAAGGTATTAGAGTTTTGAGTTTTAGTACCAATTGCAAACTGTACTTAGTTATAATTCGGTGACAGATGCCTCAAAAGCGTCTTTACGCAGCTCTATATAGAGAAGAAATAGATCAAAAACATTATTATAAATGCATAGGTATTAGGTACTGACCTAATACTAATTAATGAAGCTATCTACAAAAGGAAGGAAAAGCCCGCAAAGATATGGACTCTTAGAATGTATTATTAATGCTTTCATTATTCATACTAACATACCTACCGTTTATATAAGAGATTGACTATAATAATACTCTAAAATTAAATTTTGCGGTTTACATGCATTATTAATTTTCATAGAACGAGGCATTCCTCATTGAAGGAAATACCCAAAATCAAATTCACCATTTCACTTTATTTTAATTGTCTACACTAATATTATAAAGAGGAAAACTTTGTTTGTTTGGTTGTAATGAATAGGCTCAAAAACTACTGGACCGTTTTCAAAAATTCTTTCACCATTCGAAAGCTACATTATCCACGAGTGATATAGGCTAAATTTTATAAAAAAATAGGGTTCCGTAAAATATTTGGGTTTTTCGGAGTCCACGCGGGCGAAGCCGCGGGTGGAAAGCTAGTTTTCCTATATTTTCCTGCTGTAGTCGCCAAATGTTACGAACTTTTAGTTCCAACAATCGCCGGTAGGCGTAGTTTGTGCAACAGCGCCATAGATGGCGCTAATAGAGCGACCTTTTGTGATACTCTGCTTATTAAAGAAATATTCTAAATATCCCAAGGTCAGTAACCACGAGCTACTTCCCATTACGATTGTTGCAAGTAGTCACGAATACTTCCCATAGTAGATTGATGATAAGAATGACTCATCGTGTACCTTTATAACTTAATTTTATAGAGGTATACACGTAAGTGGTTATATGTTAAATAGTGCTTAAAATTGTAGCGCCGCTTATGTTTTTCATACATTAATTATGTATTTCATTTCTTACTACCAAAATAAGATGCCCTAAATAACTTCATGAACTAGTCGTAGGTTATTGATTTAGTAATTGTCATTTTCCTTTTATTCTTTCTACGTAGGTACCAACTAATTTAAGTGTGCTTAATTAAGCAAGAATTAAAAATAAATCTAAAATCCTATATCGTCATACAAATGTCGTAATACTCAGCAAAGGGCTTTAAAATGTAAATTCAAATTAACCATATGGAATCCATAATTCTCACCTACATTGTTCGTTTGGTTAAAACACCAAAACAACACGACATGAGATACCTATGGCCAAATCACATTCGAATATAGATTTAATGTCGTTGCAATAGAGTCGAAAAGTGAATAAAGGTGTAATTGCAGATAGAGCCACGATACATGCGTACGCGCATTACGTCAGAGCGAATCGCGCGGAACCAAATAAGCTTAGCCTTGGAATGCGCGCGGCCGGTCACACGCACGCGATTCGCTTGCGATTAGTCGCGCTTGTTCAGCAGATAGAGTTATTACTATCTTACGCACATGTTTGTATGACTCATAATCATTACTACTACGAGTATGTAGTACGCCACTGTTGCTGTGGCAACCTGTGAAATTGATTAGGATTTTGTTATGTGAATTGAACTTTGGTGTTCTATTGATAAAAGCGAGTTGGTTTATCTTTTAAACCACAAATGACGACTCGCGATCTACATCAATGGCATCTCACCTCTTATCATACAGAATAAAAAAGGAGTTGAATTTGGGAGTCACAAAACTTGGTAGCTGTAGGAAGACAAAGGTACTATAATTTTTAAGTCCTTTTCTGTAATTCAGTCCTGTGTTTATTTTGATACAGAAAACTACATCGAAAGTATCCTCCAGACAAATCGCGGCACTGTCACCGGCCTAACCTAGGCCTCTACATGCACGGCCGTTCCGCTCCCGCTGCCGCCTACGAATTTGTTCGAACACTTCCTTGTTCTATCATTTCGCTGACTTCGACAATTCAAGTACACGGTACAAAAAGCAGGGAAATAACGATACTGCGAAAAATTGTGCACAAAGTTTTGTAGCTGTTTTTGTAGCTATAATATCATGAAAATGATACTTTAAAGTTATAAGTCTGAATACCGAACATAATAATGTCGTCGAGGTAGATTGCAAGTCATGAATGGATAAAAATATCATGCATTAAAAATTCAAAGTTAAAAAAGTTGTTGAGTTCTGTAATTTTTTTGGAACTTAGAGAAAAACATAGATCTGCAAGTTACAGGCGTTTCCTGCATCTCCTTTTATCGTTGATTACAATTATTCTTTCTTAACTTTACTGTAACTAATAGCTCTATTTCAGATGTCAAATTAACCCTGCCACTGCTGCAATTGGACCTTAATAATCGAATAACCCTTTCGATCCCGTTCATGCGGGTATATTCCTTCGCCCATTTCAATCAACAAAAAACTACTGTGCGCTGGAGCGTTCCCAAACTGTGATAAGCGTTTGTAGGTCTGTAAAGTGGGCCAATGTCGCGTGTTGCAAGCTGCGCAGGCGACCAATGATGTCGGGCGCTTCCTCGAGGCGCGGGGAGGGGAGTTGCAGCAATTGACGCTATCTATAGACGTCGCGGTATCTATAGTTTAGGTTCGTTCAGTTTTCGTTAGAAATTTTTCACTATCTCTAAAATTCAGTGGCACTTTTTTCGTTGAAGACTTCGGATATGTTATTTGGGAACTTTAGAAATATTTCTTACCTTGTAACATGATTTTAGAATCAGAATCGAAGAACACTTGTTACTGAAACATCTTTATAAGAATATTCTTGGAAGAGTAACGACTGAATAATGTTTTTTTTATGAAAGTACTTTAATACTAACATTGCATAATATGTATTAACGACAAAAGTGAGCTACATTTTGACGTAGAAATTGATTTCTATTTTACGCTATCGATTCATTTTCGCAAAGATGAGTATACATCTACTATAGTTACTCAATACTTATGTTGTACAAGATAATTGTGACAGCAAAGCCTTACAGTAATGTATTATTTAATATTCCATGAATTTAATTGTAAGTTGGGAGTTACTTGTTTTGATTAAGCTGGAACAGTAAATCTGTACAGAGTAGATTCAACCTTTGGCATGTGGTTTTAAAGTATGTTATATTATAATTTCTTTAATTTTACATGAATGATAGGAAGCCACGTCGAAGATGTGTGAAGTAATTGTTAAAACAATGAAACCCTGAGTCCTTCACGCACTGGTATTATTATACAGAGCGCTATTGTTATGTAAAACGAACACACATGTCTGTATTATGACAAGAATTTGTTCTTTTGTGCACAAACACGAAAATTGTATGACAATTCCCAATTTAGGCCTGTCAAAACTATGTTCAGCAAAGCAAATCTATGTTTAGCGACTCTATATTGCCCACGCAAAGCCTGTCCCAGTCATACGTTGTCAAAACAGGAAAATGTCCTCGCCATCTGACCTTATCAGTAAAACAGATGCACAGAAACGACAATATAAGCCTATCAAACGGCAAAACGCGGCCATGCGAGCGCTCAATCGGTGCGAGAATTCCAAGCGAATCCGAAACCAAATTGAAAATGGTTCTATAGGAAGATGTAGGTACGCGATACGCTCCCGGATGCAA